GGCTTCGGCTCCGCCCACACAGCCCCATCATCCATACACAAGTCTTTTGATAAGTCCCATCAGCTGCGGCGGCAGAGGGACTTGTAGTTCTCAGTGGAATACAAGGCTGGTGACATCCATATTACTGAATGTCCATACCTAGGTACAGACATGGACAGGAGGGAGAGTCTGCAGGAGCCAGAGCATTGCACCCGCCATCCACTGATTGTGCTTGTAATGCTTTTCTGGATTCAATGTCAAAAATAATGAATAGGGATTTTTTTGAAGTGTAAATAAATGATTTCTTATTAAAAGGTGGAATTCCCTGTAGGCATTGCCAGCTTTGGTTGGAGCTCTTCTGGTCATGCCTCAGGAATGTCTTTTGAAAGTGACTAATTGATTTGTTATTTCACATATCTTAAAGTGTACTGACACCCAATTCACCCCCCTCCCTGCCATCCTGTCCATCTCGTCCATCCTGCTTTATTCCCATGATGAAGGGTAACACATGGAGGATTGCTGCTCTGTACATCCATGGCAGCAAATACCTAGCCACTCTTCATGTTGTCTCAGCTGAAGGGGCTCATGGGTCGGATGCACAGATAGAGGCGACCAATCAGTAACTCTGCCTGAACTCTGTTTCTTCTTCTTCAGCAGAGATCACATGACCAGTGATATTCTGGTTCCATGACTGGTTGTTCTGGGAGCCCATGGCTGCTGTCTGTGCAGGACAAATGGCAGGTTGATACAGGGGCCACAGTGGGCACCTAGACCCTCGTCTAAAGCTGAACTATTTTTAGGTGCATGAGCTGTGTCATATTTACCTTTCATCATCTCCCAATCCCTCCAGCTGCCAGGACAAGGCTGTGGTGGCATATCATGTAGTTGCTTGAAAAATATTGAAGATTTATTTTTAAGGCAGTGTCTTGTATTCGTTGCTTCTGCTGGACATCGCGCTTTGATAGCCACCATGTGATCTCTTGCCGCAGCTGTACATAGGGCTCACTACGCATGTGTGGGGGCTCCGGTAAAGGACAGCACTCGCTCCTGGAGCGCTGGGGGGCGCTCGTCCTAACGGCTGCCCTGTTCTAAAAAGGAAATAGGAAAGGGCTTTGAAAACAGGCAGGATTTTTGGGGGGCAGGAATCGCTCACACAGGTCTGCCATAAATGTATATTTGTAACATCTGATTTAGTATAGGGTTATGGAACGGTGTTCAGAGACTAGATGCTATATTTCTAGAAAGGTGATCTAACCCTTTATAGTGTATGGGGGAATTTATCAAAACGGGAGCAGTTGCCCAGGGTAACCAACCACCTTCTCTCTTTAGTCTGTTCAGTTAAGATTTGAAAATTGAAGAAAGAAGCTGATTGGTTGCCATGCACAGCTGCTCCAGATTTTGTCTGCCCCAGTTTTGATAAATTCCCTTATATGTATAACCACAATTTGGCTTTGTTTAGCATAGAGTAGGGAAGTTTAAAACCGCTGACAAGTTATTTTTTTTTCTTCTTTTTGTGTACGATTTGAGAACATCTCTTTTTACTTCCTTTCCCAGAGACCCAACAGGAAGTTAAAGGAAATCTCCCAAAGTGAGGGGAATTCCCCTCTCAGACAGTTGTCCCTATTGGAAGATTTCCCCGCACCGCCTGTTCTGCGAACAAATCTGAAATGTAAGAATTCCCCTCACTTCCCTTCTCAGTGATCATAGTCACCAGTACAAATAGAGGGGTGAAACTCCTCAATGGGGACACAGCAATAAAAACTTAACACAGGGTCCAACCTTTTCCCAACTTTTACAGGGAGACGTGGAAGTGAAAGTGAAACTCCCCTGTTTTGTGTAAATGTCAGGACTGGATGGACAGAAATAGAATCTTTGGCAGGTTAAACAGATCCTATACACGATCAGCCATAGCATTATGACCAGTGAGAGGTGAAGTGGATGACATTGACTATCTTGTAACAATGGTACCTAGAAGTGGGTGGGATATATTAGGCCGCATGTGAACATTTTGTCCCTGAAGTTGATGTGTTGGAAGCAGAAATAATGGCAAGTGTAAGGATTTGAGGGACTTTGACAAGGGCCAAATTGTGATGGCTAGACAACTGGGTCAGAGCAACTCCAAAACTGCAACTCTTGTGGGATATTCCCGGTCTGCAGTGGTCAGGAACTACCAAAAGTGCTCAAAGAAAGGAAAGCCAGCGACTGGTTCATGGATGGCAAAAGGCTCATTGATTCATGTAGGGAACGAGGGCTGGCCCAATCCAATAGAAGAGCTACTGTAGCTCAAATTGCTGAAAAAGTTTATATTGGTTCGGATATAATTGTCAGGATCCTCTTCAGCTGCGGCGTCTCAGTATACCGCGAGCTACAGCTCGCGGTATACTTGAGCCTAGGGTGACGGGAGGACGCTAGTTTGTGTCCTCCCGTTACCCTAAGGAGAACTATGGGGAAAAGCCTTAACCCCATAGTTCTCCTTTTTAAAGGTGTCTAAACACAGAGCATTGCAGTTTGTTTTGTGTATGGACCGGTCAGGCTGCCCGTGCTGACCCATGTACACCACCAAAAGTGCCTACAATGGGCACACAAGCAGCAGATCTGAACCACGGAGCAATGGAAGAAGGGGCCTGGCCCCATGAATCACATTTTCTTTTACACCACGTGAATGGCTGGGTTTGTGTGAGTCACATACCTGGGGAAGAGATGCATTATGGGAAGAAGGGAAGCCGGTGGAGGCAATGTGATGCTTTGGGCAATGTTCTGCTGGGGATCTGACCATGTTTAATGCTTGACCTTAAATATAGGTGTAACATGAAACATGGTGATAAACATGAAATGACCCTTTAATCATCTCTGAATGGTCTTTTAATATTGCAGTGATAGCAGTGAGTCAAAGAGGAAGTAAAGGCAATTTTTTCTTCATGTTTGGTAGTCCGTGACTGCCAACATTATCTCAGTTTAACTCATTATTTGACTGTAAAAGAATTGGCTGCACCAGTGACAATTTAGGGGTGTCATATAATAGGGGTGCATATGTCTTGCATATATCTGACTTGCAGAAATATGTTTTATTTTCAATATGAGGGTCCATTCACACGGTTGTGACTAGCTGTGCACCATAAAACCTGGCTGATACTTCTGCGCCTGGGAGTGACGGGTGTTGAATATAGCTGCGGGCAGCAGCCTGTACAAAGCAATGACCATGTGGCTGTATACATATCCCTGCACATCCCAGTGTTTTCATCTGTAGAGGGATGGGTGAGCGGCCTTGGCTGCAGACATATCTGTAAAAAAATAAGTCAAGGCAACTGGACTTGCTGTATTTTTCTTGAAGACGTTTCACTGAGCATCCAACCAGCTTTCTCAATTCAATTCTGAATTGAGAAAGCTGGTTGGATGTCCAGTGAAACGTCTTCAAGAAAAATACAGCAAGTCCAGTTGCCTTGACTTATTTTTTTACAGATATACCATGACCTGGATGAATGAGAACCTTCACAGACTCGGATGCAGACAGTTTGTGCCCAGGGCCCCTCATCCCTCCATGTACAGATAGATGACTGTTAACAAAGAAGTAAATCCACTGTAATCCTGTGTTGTATGACAATAAAACCAGAGGGGGTGAATGTTTGTTTTTGTATGATTTGTTAATGGTTCTCAGCAGGCCTTAAGCTGGATTTGCACGCTGAACAGTGTACATGGGGGAATCTTCATCTGCATGGCTATTGTATTTTCACATCCATGGCATCTGGGGCTGTCGGCATACCAGAACAGTGACCGCAGCCAACAGTTTTCAGCTCAGCTTCTTCAACAAAAGTAGACTGAGTAACTGACTTATGTCAGAGTGGTGCTAACAGGACCACCCAAAGCTTGTCAGCAGGACTCGGCCAAAATGTGTTCATTGTATAGCCAGCTTTAAATGTCAGCTTCAGCACTTGCATAATGATATGTCATTTGCACAGAACACACGGGGTTATGTACGGCAAACATTAACTCCCCAGCCTCCTCCTAAGCATTACATAGAAGGGTCAATGACACTAACTGCCAGGAATTTGCATGTCCTCCCTGTGCTTGCGCGGGTTTCCTCCAGGTACTCCGGTTTCCTCCCACACTCCAAAGACATGCTGGTAGGTAAATTGGCCCTCTATGTATGTATGTATGTATGTATGTATGTATGTGAGATAAGGAGCTTGGACTGTAAGCTCCTTGAGGGCAGGAACTGATGTGAACGTAAATACCTATAATAAAAAAGAGGAAATCTAAGTAGAATTTGTAAGCGAGTAAAAACCAAAGGTAGGCAGCAATTTACTCCTGGTGGTGCATATGACTGAGTGACCCTGTCAGGTCACAGAACCACATCTGGGCTTGCGGAGCCCGAGCAAAGGTCAGAGGGGGTGACACTATCCTTGCTTTGATTTGTTGGAATTGGCTGCTCTGGGATCAGATTGGACAGTGCCGCTTATATTAGTGGGACTGCAGGTACCAGCATGGCTTTGTCCCAGGACTCCCCAAAAAGGTGGCAGTTCTGGCTTCTAGGGCTGCAACAACTAATCGACATAATCGATTATTGAAAAAGTTGTCAACTTTTTCAATAATCGATTAATCGTCTTCCGATCAGTTGGCCCTGTTCACGGCTCCACACACGCTGCGCGCCGCACCTCTTCCCCACCTCACGCTCGCCGCTGCCAGACCCGCCCACATCCACGCTCTTCACGCCGCACCTCCTCCCCGCCTCACACTCACCGCCCGCCCACATCCACGATCGGCACAGGGACGCGGGGAGATGTAGTAAGGAGGAGCAGGTGTGGGGGGATGACAGCCACCGATAGACAGGTCCAATCTCAGAAGCAAGTTGCTGGAAGACTGCTCAGGTAAGCCTGCACTTCCCACACATGGTGCTCTAATGTATTGCTGGGATTTGTATTCCTCTATAGCTGATGGTACATTGTGCTGTATATTATACATAGGAATACACATCCAGCAATACATTATACACTGTATGTATAATGTATTGCTGGGATTTGTTGTATTCCTATATAGCTGGTGATATTCTGCACTGCACTGTATAGAGGACTACAAATCCCAGCAATAATACATTATACAGCGCAATGCAGAATACCACCAGCTATAATGTACTATTGCTGGGATTTGTTGTAGTCCTCTATAGCTGGTGATATTCTGCATTGCGCTGTATAATGTACTATTGCTGGGATTTGTAGTCCTCTATAGCCGGTGCCATTCTGCATTCATTGCTGTATAATTTTACACTTTCCATTTCACTATATTGCACACCACACTATTTTTTTTCACCGCTCCAAGCTTGCTCCTGTGATGGACTACAATCTCAATACAAACTAGTAGTCCATCACTGGAGCCATTTTAAATTTTTTTTTATTGTTTATCCGATTAACCGATTAATCGAACTTAATAATCGGCTAACTAATCGATTTTGAAAATAATCGTTAGCTGCAGCTCTACTGGCTTCCCCTCTTCAGGAAGCCATTGCTCTGCTGGATGGCCATTTTCCCCTCTCTTTGTGCTTGGGTGCTTGGAAGTACACTCCTCCAACACTCAGGTACAGTGGCCTTGCTGTCAGTGGCATCCACAGACGCCATATTCCCTTGATGGTAGCCGAGCGTGGCCTCGGCCAATGGCTCCTGTTCTCACCGCACATGTGATGAGCTGGGATTTCCAGGATCGCACTAGCTAATGTGCTTGGTGTTTATCGAGGCTTGGGCAAGTATTCTTCCACACAATAGCCACAAAATGACACCAGGAGTGCTGTACCATTAGAAGTCCAGACCTAATAGTGAAATGTCTGAATTCCCGTGACGCCATCAGGCAATTCTAGGAATGCACATTCATCTGGATACTGTGCTTTGCATAAGTATACATGATAGTGAGCGGGGTTTTATTCTAGTGGATTGGGCTTTTCTCCAGGTTATAAATAACATGTTCTGATGTCGGCTACAATTTGCAGGACTATACAGGACGAGGATATAGTTATACTGGTCATATACTCTGGAAGTGTTGGCGTTTCTCATGTATCCTCTTTGTAGTTTGTTCTTCAATGACCAATGTTTGATTGCTTATTCCTTCTGTCTACCAAACATCATGTGTACCTTTTTGTGTATTTGTTTAGCTTGAATGCAAACAAAGCTGTGTTTGTTTTGCAGATATATGCCAGCAAAGGAATTTTGCGCTCAGTTGTGATTGGGGATCCTCCAAGAGCAAAGGATTACTGTATTACATACAATTCGACATGGACAACCCTTCCACCGACCTATACAAACGCTGTAAGTTCTTGTTCTCAGGGCATTTAAAGAAGAACTCCAGGCAAAAATTGTATTAACCCTTGCAGTGGGGCTACCTGTGCATTGCAAAGGTTAACTGCTCGTTTTTGTCTAGGTTTAAAAAAAAAAAAAAGTTATAATCACCTGAACCATGGAGCTGACTTGCTCTTAAGGTGCCCATACACCTTACGACCATCGCAAGACCTTTGTCTTGCGATGGTCGTAAGCTCATTGAAAGCTCGTACGATCTGCCCATCTTGGACGGGCAGATCGTACTTGCGCTCATCGAAAGCTCGCCCCGCTGAGGGGCGGGCTTCCGTTGACCGCAGTGAGGGGCGGGCTTCTGATCACTGCAAACGGGCAGTGTGCGCGTGCGCACACCGGCCCGTTCGGCAGTTGTCGAACAAGCAGGCCACTAACCCGCCGAGAATCGTACGATTCTCCGCGGGCTTTCAAGCCTGCTTGTTCGACGGAAGACGTGCGACCGTGCAGTAGAAACGGTCGCACGTCTTCCATACACTGTACGATTCTCGTACGATCGCGGGATTTCCCGCGATTCTCGTACGAGAATCGTACAGTGTATGGGCACCTTTTAGACTGGTCCTTCCAGCCTCTCTCCCCTTCCTCTGCAGTGGTTTAGAGTCCCGTACATTATCATGTTCTATACATAGTGTATAGGACATGGGAGCACTGAGGAATATTCCAATGTTGCAGTGTATGAGGAGACAGGATGGAGAGAGTGCTGTGACAGCTGGCCGGCTCAGAGGATTGGGTAAGTATCACTTTAATTTTTAACCTAGACAAAAAAAAAAGAGCACCTAACCCTTGCAGTGCTGGGGTAGCTCCACTGCAAGGGTTAATAATAACTTACTAAACTTTTCTAAAGGTGTGTTTGTTGTCATTTTAAATAAAAAAAGAGTCCCTCATTAACCCCTTCATGACCGAGGCCTTTTTTTTCATTTTTTGTTTACATGTTATAATCCACATTTTAGGCCAGAAAGCTACTTAAAACCCCAAAACATTACATATTTTCTGAAAACCAAGACCCTATAGAATATAATGGTGGCAGTTGCAAATTTTTATGTTGCACGATATTAGCTCAACTCCTTTTTATTAAACCCCAAAGTTATTTATTAAAGTGAAAAATGCACTTAAATGGCTCAAAATAAAATACCTATTTTTTAAATAAAATATAAAAGATGAGGTTACTGCGAATAAATAGACACCCAACAAGTCCAGGTTAAAAATTGTGTGCGTCCGTGAAACTGCGACAAAATTCAGTACCCCAAAAGTTCGTAGGCGACGCTTTAAAAGCCCCCACAGGTCATCAGTTTAGAGATACGCGTAAATATTGGCCCTAATATTATTGCTCTCCGGCGTGCGCGTTGATACCAAACGTGTAGCGCGATTATTGTTTTCGCAGGTTGGCACACCTGACGCGTGTTTACGTGAAGACGCGCGTGCTCGCGGGGAACTTTAAAAAAATATTTACATTATTTTTATATTTTATTTAATATTAATTTTTAAAACTGTTAGTTTTTTTTTAATAACTTTAATTGCTATCACATTGGGGGGCTTACAAGACCCTCATGTGATTGCATATTGGCAGTGACAGGTATGCTGTAAGGTGATGCTGGGGGCCCAAAAGACCCCTAGTGTCACCTTGTACACTTGAAATTAAATATTGAAGTGCAGATCATACTTCAATAGCTTATAGCTGGGCTTCAGGAGCCCGGGACTGACCGCTATGGGACCGGAAGTGATGTAATCTGCATCACTCCCGGTCCCATAGAACAGAGATCGGTGAATGGAGGTTCGTTGGTCTCCTCCCCAGCTTCCCTCCGACACCAGAGAAGCCGGTCCCGGGCCGGTAGGAGGGGCAGCGGAGCCCAGGAAACACGGCGGGGTGTCGGGCGGGGGGGCTTTTACCGCCCCGTAGAAACGATCTGGTGGCAGCTGAGCTTTACAAGTTTAAACGGAGTCCCGGCAGCAAAAGCCGCCGGTAGTGTATTTTAACGGGCCCGATGCCAGTGATGTACACTGTACGTCACTGGTCATGAAAGGGTTAATGTGGTCCCTCTCAGCTGTAGGGTAGGGAGAGAGTTCTCAACCTTCCATGTAAGCTTCAGGCTCTGAGTGATCAATGTTGTGGGGGGTTGCTCAAAGGGTGTGTGGGGTTACTTTATTATTGGACTTGGTTTTCCATAACCCTCGCATTGAGAACCACTCGGTTCTCCATATCTAAAACCAGCGCGCAACAATAGTACTTTATGTAAAGAGCAATATTAATGATGATAACAATATATAACCAGCAAAAATATTGTGCTGGCAATATGCAGAAAATGTATATGCGGGAATCCTGATCTGTGATAGGAAAGCGACTACTCTGTAATTATGGTGTTTATTTTCTCCATAATTACTAAAGTCAGCTTAAACCCAAAAGGGTACAATGTAGTAATGTGACCAAACCGCTTGGCCCAGAATACAAACTGTAGCTGCTTTATTATATTTTCATGTTCTCTCCCTGTAGTCATCCTTTAAAGGGCTCGCTCTTGTCAGAACATTGTCATTCCATTTGGTTATTGGTTACCTTTTTCATGTATTCTTTATTTTTCAGACCTTTTACAGGTTATTAAACCTGAGCTCAGTGTGGCTGTGCAGCCCTTCGGATGTGCCCAGTAAAGGATTTCAGGACATGGCGGTCATTGTCATGGATGGAAACTGCTCCATATTGGAGAAAGCGATTCTGGCAGAAAATAATAATGCTAAAATGCTGCTCCTTGCTTCTAAAGAAGGTCTGGTACGTGTTAGGATTATTGAATATGTACTTATTATTGTCACATTTCAGTTGGTCTAATCAGTTATATACAGTGGGTATAGAAAAGAATCAGCCTCTTTTAAAATCACATTTTATTGCTTTGCAGGCTGAAATGAAGAACAACACCTTTTTTGTTTTATCTAGCTGTACTTAGTGCAACGTATAACATCCTAGTGAGAGAACACCAACATGTCATAATAAAATTCAAAAACAGAATCACTGAGTTGGAAAAAGGATCACCCCCTTGAATAGTATTTTGTTGAACCACATTTTGCTTTAATTCCAGCCTTTAGTCTGTTGGGGTATGTCTCTACTAACTTTGCACATCTAGACTTTGCAATATTTGCCCACTCTTCTTTGCAGAACTTCTTTGATGGTGACCATTTGTGGACTGCAGTCGTCAATTCATGCCACAGATTTTCAATGGGGTCTAAGTCTGGGCTCTGACTAGGCCATGCAAGGACATTCACCTTCTTCTCCTTCAACCACTGTGTGGTCATTTTTGCTGTATGCTTTGAGTCATTGTCATGTTGGAAGGTAAACCTTCATCCCATGGACAACTTTCTGGCAGAGGGCAGCAGATTTTTCTCAAGAATTGGACAGTATTTTGCATCCATCCATTAATCCTGACAAGTGCTTCAGTCCCTCCTGCAGAGAAACACCCCATAACAGGATATTGCAACCTCCATGCTTTACTGTAAAAATTGTGTTATTTGGATGGTGAGCTGTATTGGATTTCTGCCAGACATATAGTTTGGTGTTGGGGCCAAACAATTAAATTTTAGTCTCATCTGACCATAACACCTTTTTCCATGTGGCCTCAGAATCTTCAAGGTCTATTTTGGCAAAGCTCAGTGGTGACTGTATGTGGCCTTTCTTGAGGAGTGCCTTTTTTCTTGCAACCCTCAAGCCACATTTGTTGAGAATTTGTGATATTGTTGTCACATGCACACAATGACCACTTTTTGGCATAAATTCCTGTAACTGCTTCAGAGGTGCTGTAGGCCTCTTGGTAGCCTCTCTTAACAGTTTCCTCCTGGCTCTTTCATCCAGTTTGGAGCGACGTCCTGATCCAGGGAGGGTCTGTGTTGTACAAAATTCCTTCCACTTCTTAATAGACTTCACTGTGCTTCTAGGCATTGATAAACCTTCGAAATGTTTTTCTATCCATCTCCTGACTTGTGCCTGTCCGCAACTTTATCCTGGAGATCTTTTGACAGTGCCTTGCCACCCATAGTTGATTTGTTTGCTTCAGTTGCACTACCAGGGACTGAAATGCTCCAGGAAAGCTCTTTTCATGCTGAGCTAATCAAAATGACCACAGCTGATCACAGTTGAAAGTCAATTGGCTTTGTGTGCCATTGAGAAGGTGACTAGCTACAACTGATTGAGTTTACAAGTAAATTTTAGGAGGGGGTGATCCTTTTTCCAACTTGCGATTTGGTTTTTGAATTAAAAAAAAAAAAATTCTGACATGTTGGTGTTATATCTTTCACTTGTTGGATGTTATAAGTTGCACTGAGTAGATAAAAGAAAAACTGTGTCTGTCTTTCATTTCAGGCTGCAAAGCAACCAAATGTGATTATTTTAAAGGGGGTGATTCTTCTATACCCACTGTATGTGTACACACAGAATACATTTATGTATGAAAAATAGAAATGAGATGTATTAGGTAAGGTACATTATAACAACATGACAATTAACATTTTTTTTTGACTCTGCTCTAACCTATCTGCATCCCCCATTGCAGCCGGCTCCCCAAGACAGCAAAATCAACCAATTGACAATACCCCTTGCCTATGTCAAATATAAGGATCTCATAAACATGGAACAGGTATGTTAGTGTGTGTTTGTTTTTTTTTGTTTTTTTTATTTTTTTTTGTTTTGTTTTGTTTTAGAACCATCTGACTTTGCTATTGTAAGCAACTATCTTTTAGTATTACATATTTGTTTACATTATAAACATAACTTTTATATACTGTGATGTATTTATTTTTACAAAGTGTATTGAACACATTAGTGTAATTGAGCATTTACATCAGTCCTTGCTGCATAAGAGTTTACAGTTAGCCTGTCAGTCACACAAGCGCTCGCTCACACATACATACTCAGGTTAATTTGGTCAGAAACATGTTCATGTGTCCAGGTTTCAGGATACTGGTAGGATTAAATTAAGGACCCCAGTTTTGCAAGCCAAGAATGTTAAAATGCATCGCCATTTATATTTAAGAGGTGACTGGCCTGGTTACTGTATGTGCAGGCAGAACCCTTCACAGTTTGGAGGATGGGAGCCCAATTTGCAGTCTTTTTCTTGCGTCCCAGCACTGTCTGACAACTTTTTGAAGTTTAGGCAGGAGACCCTATTTGATTTTTTTGAGCACAAAGCTCATTGCTCAAACTCAAAAATATTTATAGATGAAGACATTAAAAAGAATGCCAGGAAAAACTATGAATGTTTTATGTAAGCACTGAAAAAGTGTTGGTCAAGAAAAATCACAAAAGAATCCTTGATCACATCAAGGCCAACTTTCACTAGAATCCCAGATAACTAGGCTGAAGTAAGGGAAAAGAGGGCAATGAGCAATGAAATGGATGGATACAGTCATAAAAATCATGAATATGTCATTGCGAAGACTTAACCACTTGCTGCTGGCCATATGCATATCTGTGGCAGCACAGTGGGTAGGCTGTAACATCAGGCTGTCGCATAGATAAGTAGAGCGAGCTTGTGCCACTGTTCTGTGCTGAGAGTGCAATTACTTGGCACTCCCAGCACAGTGACCAAGCTGTCATCGACTGCTCCCAGTCACTTTACGTTCTGGAGCTGGTGGAACGTGCTCCCGATCATGTGGCAGCCAGTCGCACTCATCACATATTCGGAAAGCCCATCTCTGATTCTTAGCAATTAAAAAACAATTAAAAGGGAGCTGGTGGCAAGGGGTTAAGACCCAAAGAGAAAACCGATCATGCTGGAGAAACACTATCCATGGAGTCACCACCAGTTTACGTCAACTTGACGGCACTTACTAATAATAATAGATACTGGAAAAATGTATACATAAAATAAATCTAAAGACGCCTATTAATGTGTCTTGTTAACAATAATGTGACAATTCAAAGAGTTTACAATCTTTGTCAGACTTTATCTCTGCTAGGATGTGAAAATGAGAAAATTTGTTAACTGCCCAGGAAGCCTGAAGATCCTCCCTATGTTGATAGAATGTCATCGATTTTTCTCTGAATCATCTTAGAGAACTATGTGTATATGTTCATTTCTCTCCCGTTCATTGAAGGACACAGGGAACAGATCGGAGATCATGTACTGTAGGGTAATATCGCCACCTGCAGGAGAAGGACGCTAGGCACAAAAAACTAAAGACCAATTACAGCCTAGGGGCGGCCCCTGCTGGTGGCCAAACCCCCCACCTGCTGACAAGTCTCCAGTTTTTTGCCTAGCGTCAGGAGTAAGGAGCTAAGAATTCTTTCTCGGGTATTCTTACCTGCTTCTTCCTGCTTTTTTCAGTAGACTCTTCTAGCAAGTGTTGTTTCATTGAAGGACACAGGGCCCGCCCCTCTGTGTGGGTGTGTACTCCTTTACTGCTTGTTGCTAAACTGGAGACTTGTCAGCAGGTGGGGGGTTTGGCCACCAGCAGGGGCCGCCCCTAGGCTGTAATTGGTCTTTAGTTTTTTGTGCCTAGCGTCCTTCTCCTGCAGGTGGCGATATTACCCTACAGTACATGATCTCCGATCTGTTCCCTGTGTCCTTCAATGAACGGAGAGAAAAGGATTTTACGGTGAGTACCAAAATCCTATTTTTTTCTTCAGAGGTGAAGAAACAGTGACTAACAAGTCTATTCACTAAAGGGTGAAGGGTTTGGAGGACGCAGAAGTTAAAAAAAAAAATTAATCTAGGCCACAAAATCTGATTTGGAAAAATTATCCAATTCAGCTCACTTTCCAGTTCAGCTATGTTGTCCTAGATTGTTCACTTCTCCTGCCTTCTCCAAACTCTTCACCCTTTTGTGAATAGACCTGTAAGTGTCAGCCATAATAGAAGTTTGTCTAGTTACTGGATGATATACTGTTTGTGTGGCCATTATAAAGTTACTTTTATGTTGTTTTGTGTATATTTAAACGTAATCCTTTTTTATGTACATGGTTCATCGTCTGCATTCCAGCTAAAATTTTAGATAACAAACTATACCAACTGCAATACTGTTATTGTCACGTTTCATGCATTAAAAGTGGAAGTAGGAGCAGATGAGAAGTCATAGGAACACAATTACAGGCTTAGAAGATGGGGTATTACCTGTGAATAATGCAGTCTTATCGTATAGAAGTCAAAATTTCTATACAATAAAGCTGGTAACCTTTTAGATGTTGGACGTTTGACCAAATGTTTACAGAGTAATGTCTATTTCTTTTTCTAGGTGCTTGGAAACAATATTGCTGTGACACTTTACTCCCCTACACTCACACAGTTTGATTTCAGCCTGCTGATTATATTCCTTATCTCTGTGTTCACTGTGGCATTGGGTGGTTACTGGAGCGGACTGTCTGAGATGTAAGTGTAAATGAATATATGTAACTTGATTCATGCTCTTATAAATCCCATGCCAACACAATATCCTAACTAGAAAAATGGTGACTGTCAGGTACTTTTGTCTTATTGTCCTTGAGATCTGCTTGGCTATTTGTATTGCTTAGTGCAATCAACTATTTCAATGATTTCATTACTTAAAGTTTACCCCAGTATTTCTGAATGGAAATATTATTTTAATTTGTACTATGTTGATAATCCAGGGAAGACTTGAGGCCCTCTCCAAGTGAAGATGAATATGAAGGAAGGAAAAAGAAAGATGAAAATGTAACATTTACTCCTTTAACTGTTATCCTGTTTGTTGTCATTTGTTGCGTCATGCTGCTTCTCCTATACTTCTTCTACAAGTGGTTAGGTAAGTGGTTTGAAGTTCTTTTCAGTTTCTGTGTATATTTTTACATATGTCAGTTATTGGGAGATATATATATATCTATATAGATATAGATATATCTATATCTTGGCGCAGTGCAAACTCTAGTGATAAATAAAGGTATTTTACCGGCACACACTTGAAAAAAATCTTTAAAGTATTGATATGTTTATTCAATACCAGATGTCACATACTGTCATATGGTGCTAACGTAGTATTGAATAAACATATCAATACTTTAAAGATTTTTTTCAAGTGTGTGCCGGTAAAATACCTTTTTATGTATGCTTAATCCACATGACATTGACACAATCAATTGTTATATTATGATCTACTTTAGAGGCAGAAAGTCATAGTTGTATGGTCCTGCATGTTTTTTTCAAGTATGCTGGACCTGTTGTATGTCTCTCAACTGATTCATTCACAAAGACGGGCCTATCTGCTGGAAGAATATGCAATATCTAATTATTGAAATTCTGGTATTTAATATTAATTTGGAAAATAAATTTGTGTTTAGAAAGTAGACTATGTGCAAACAATTTTGTACTTGCAACTATTTACATGTGTTTCTCTTTGTCTGCAGTGTACGTTATCATTTGTGTGTTTTGCCTGGCATCTGCAATGAGTTTGTTCAACTGTCTCTCTGCGTTGATCCGGAATATTCCATATGGAAGATGCAGGTGTGTCTTCATTGCAGATGTCAAAAGTATTTATCAAGCCCGGCTTCACCGGTTAGAATAACATCCTCTCTCTTTAATGCTTTGTGCAGAATTTCATGCGTCAATAAAAGTGCTGAAGTGAGGCTCCTTTTCTTGGCTGCTTTCTGCGTAGCTGTGTCGGTGACCTGGGCAGTGTTCCGAAATGAAGATAGGTACTGTATGTGATAATTGGGACAGAACAACACTTCACTCTCATGTGACACATTTACCACTATACTATAAATAAGTTGTATTCACAGTGCAGCTGTTGGTGTCTCCCATTGAATGAAAATAAGTGTATGCTGCTGACGTGCATTTGTTCACATTCAGATTTTACAAGTAGAAAGAGAATTGATTATAAGGAAAAGCTAAACCAAAAAAAACAAGGGAAATGTAAATGTTCTGGGCACACAAGAGTAAGAGTATTGTATCATGGCTGGTGATTCAGAGGCACTAAGACGCTTATCTATGATGTAGATGAACCATAAAATATATATAGGTCATATAAGGGGTTGTAAGGCACAAGTCTATAAAATGCAGTGTGTGTATATATGTGATGATGTAACATATAGTCATCCAGCAATCGTATTGCAGAATGGGGAATTATTTAATAAAGCATATGGGGTACGGGCTGAAAGCTGTCAGTCAAGGGGGTATTGAATAGAATCGCAGACAGGTTGTTGTCAGAGTGGCCAACCAGCTTTAAATCCAAAACGTAGAGAGTTGGTTGTGGTTCATGGAGAGGACACATATGGGTGTTTCAGAGTTGGCCATTTAACTAGAACTGGAATAGTGCCTTACTGAGCACCCGTTCAAATATTTTGACACTTTCTAAATAAAAAAGAAGAAACATTGTAAGTAATGTCAGAACCACCTGCTTATCACTACCTTCTATGCATATAGTTTACATGGATGGGAAGTTGTGACAGACAACAGCGACAGGGCAACATGCTGCTTAATATTGGTAGGTGCATGCACTCTAGTAGAAAATGCAGTGTTTGATAAAAAAAGTCAATATGTCTGTACTTACCTTCTCTGCGCTCCCCTCTGCCTCTCTCATCCACCAGAGTTGAATGTTAAAACCTGCATAAAGCTGGCCATACACCTCCTAGATTATCTGCAGATTTTCTATAGTCAGACACAAAAAGTGCAACAGATTCCTCCATCTACGCTAAACTGTGTGGATGGCGGTATCTCCTCCTGGGCCAAGCTTCAGTATCTTGTTAGTCAGCCATGGTGGCTCTCAAAACATCTGAACAATGCCGGCATCCAATCAGATTGTTTAGGTATTTTGACAGCCAGCGGGGCCGACTAGCAAGATAAGGGAGCTTGGCCCATCGGGAGATTCCCCCATCCACAGTTTAGCGTAGATGGAGGAATCTGTTGCACCTTTTCCATCTGACAACAGAAAGTCTGCAGGTAATCTATAGGTGTATGGCCAGCTTGGGAGATAGCATGCTCCTCTCCACAACCATGTGACCGTGCTGCTGATTGGGGAGACAAGGGGTGCCTTGGGTTCAACATACATGTAATTATAGGGTATTTCTGGGGGCTCTGACAGCAGATTGGTGCAGTAGGAGAGTATGAGGAAGGGAAGTATTGGCAGCTTATGGTTTATGCTATTCAGAAAAAGTTTTCCTAGTATGTGCAAAGTATAGGTTTGCTTTATTAGAATAAAATGGATACCGGATGCCATGCTAGTCCTTAAAACGGTTGCATTTTTATTGGTACATCTCTGTTTTTCAGGTGGATATGGATATTGCAAGATATTCTGGGAATTGCATTCTGCCTCAACTTTATAAAAACTCTGCGAATGCCAAATTTCAAGGTAGGAGTTTTTTGTTTTTTTTAAATAATCAAGCCACCCCATTAGTTAGATTTGGTTAGTCCGGATAACTGCACTTCCTAAACTATTTTATAATGTTTTTAAATATTGGAAAGCATGGTTGTTCACCTTTCTATGATAAGGCCGGAACAGTGACCGTCATAGTGTCCCTTTTAGGGCTTGTTCACACCATGTCCGGCCCAGACTAGTTTTTGTCCACACCTGAAATGCATACCAATGTATCCCTATGGTATTTCTGGGCTCTGTTCACACCTGTGCAGTCCATTCTGGTGCTGCAGCAAAATGCTGCATGTACTTTTTTTGTCTGGTCTGGAACGCACACAAAATGCATGCAAACGCACTGGACTGCACCTGAAAGCAAATTTTAAGCTAGAAAAAAAATGCACCGTAACGTGTGACAAATGCACTGCACCGGGTTTGCAGATCTGCTCCAGATCTGGTCTGGACATGGTGTGAACAAGCACTCATTGCCTTTTAATGCAGGTGACCTGAAAGCAGGTAATAAAAACAAGCTGATGTTTAAAAGAAACCCTATATGTATGTAATGTTGGCTGCACATATTAGTCAAGTGTATTTCACAAATAATCTGTTCTAATTTGAGTGCGATTTAATAATCAAGCAGTAAGCTTGTTCAAAATCCGAGTCATACTATAGCCAATTGTAGGCCTTTTAGATATGATAACTTGTAAAGTGCAGCAAAGCCAAACCTGTCAATGAGGTTTTATCTTTTGTTAAGATAACTAGAAGTGGATTTTGTCTGTTGCACTTTGCGTAGTCGTTGAACCTTCTCCTCTTCTGAGCACTCTGATAGTTTTTTTTGTTAGATTTGTTCAGTTTGACTACAGAATACCACTTTTGTTGTTCAGTGATTGTATGCAAAGTGGGTTGCAGAGGCCTAAATATCCACTAATGGTCAGCCTATGAGTTTCTGAAGTTATCTGAGCTAAATATATTTGAAATAAAATTAGTGCTTTTGGCTTTTAAAGAATTTCAGACCGTTCTAATGATAAAGGAACACATTGTAACATTTCTCTCAACTTCTAACATTCTTTGGAAGATTCTATCCATATGTGTATACATTTTATTTCACCAACCTATATGATATCTGTGTATTTAGCTTTTGTGGCCCTTTTCAACCTCTACTTTTAATAACCGAGAGCTTAATTTTTAAGACTTTTTTTTGTTTGTTTTTACTACGTTAGAAAGGAAACTAATGATTGCTGAATTACAATGTATTCATCACTTTGTGTTACTTGTGTTTTTCAGGCCTGCGTGATCCTCCTAGGTCTCCTTCTTGTGTATGATGTGTTTTTTGTGTTTATAACTCCATTCTTCACAAAGGTATCAGAACAGCTTGTTGGCATGTATATTATTATGTTTACAATTTTATATAAAGTTTGACATTCATGTTCTGTAGATTACCTTCTCAGGCATGGTTCCCTGTGCCAAGAGAATGTTAATATTTATTCTATTCTAGAATTTAGAGCATGAACCTGTGTCACTGACAGATGCTGATCTACACTAACGGTCAGGAACCAATCAGCATGGTTTCTGATCATGGGTATACCATGAGCCAGTCATGCTGCTCACATTGGGTTTGTTTAGTAACAAGCCTGCTAGCTTCAGGTGTCTCTGTGCCTTCTACAAAGAGAGGCGTGGTGGCAACTGCTCTGTGGATTACAGTGCGTAAAAATTAATAAATAATAGAGAAAGTAAATACAATTTGATGGAAAGTGTAGTATAAAATGAGCAAAATTAATTAAACATTGTCCATTTGTCAGCTTACAGTAAAACCATGTGCAGCATATTTACTAAAACGGTGTAACAGATAAAAGCCCTATATGTCCTTAAGAGTTCACACCCGTGCAGATCACACGTCATCCCAGGAAGGAAAGATGCTGCGTGTAATTGCGTGCAGCAACCTATACCTGCCTATGGGAGGATGTGGCTGCACACAGTTATACGCGGTTACACACATTCCCGAACCTGCACATCTGTGTGGGTCTGGGTGCGCACACTTGAACGCAGGCAGTGAGAGTCCAAGTGCGGGCATCCGTACAGGTTCGGGTCTGTGTGTAACCGGGTACAGCTGCATCCTTCCATAGGGGGTACAGGCTGCTGCACGCAATTACATGCAGCACTTATCTATGCCCAGGTATGCATGCTGCACGGATGTGCAAGCCCATGTGAATGAGCCCTAAAATCTATGTTGAAATGATTTGGGCAGACAACTTAGTATTCAGAATTGTCAGAATCAAGCGGAATTGTATACTGACTGCTTATTTTAGTCCGGGCATCTAGACTTCAATGATTTTTTATTTATGAAGGGGTTAGTATAGTGGATAACATTGTAAGGTGTACGCTTTCTAGTCTGTGTCTCTTGGAAAATGTATATACAATATTTCTGACAGAGATTATCACCGGTATATTATAGTTTGTTCATATACAATCTTCCAGTTGGCTTTTACCACTTAGAGTAATTACTTGATACCACCACTTTATTACATGAACTTTATAATTCTATAAAATATTGTATCTAAATGAATTGTATTTATTTCATTCTGTTAGAAAATCATAGGCATATAAGAAGTGCAGGAGAATTGGAAGTGTATATTTGGCAGAGCTACTGCTTCTAGCCTTTCTTGTGCAGTATAGGAAATTCAGGGCTGATTTACACCCTATGCATTAGGGCTGTTGTTTCCAGCGCAGTCCCAATGCAAGACAAGGCAATTTGCCTTGTCACAGATGGGCTCGGTTCACACCACCACGCTGCGATGGGAATGCAGAGGTGGGCGCTGAAAAAAAGTCCACCATGCTGTAGTTTTCTTCAGCGCAGTGGGATGCAATGGAAAAAAACTAGCTCACACCCCACTGTGCTTGCAGAACTATTGAAATGTCACTTGAGACATTTCAATAAAGTTTTACCCCCCAAAAAAGACACTGTATGATGTGCCAGGAACAGTGCACGGCACTGTCGGGCAACGCACACCAGCTGCTGTTCATTTAGCAGAGAAGATATGAGATTAGGTGGTGTGAGCTATAGCAGTTTTCATACTCCCATGTATACAAAGGGGCTAAAGTACTGGGAACATTAGTAAGAGGTTGGCATGCTCAGCCTGCCTGCTCATTACTTGAGGTTTTCATCCTGGCATTGCTGTAAGACTGGCCTCCATGGAGTAGGGAAACGACCACCGTCCCCCATTTTGTCAGAAGTATGCTGACCTGGGAACCCCTTCTTGTGATATTGGTGAGGAATTCCCATGCAAACCCATTGTAGACTCCTTTTTTGCCTTTCACGTACAGAAAACGTGATGTAAATAAATGTATTGGTATATAAAAGATTCTGATAGCCACCAATCAAATTCAACCCTACTTTGTAAATGTGAATGTGATTGGAAGGAGAGGAAGTGGGTATATATGCCAAGACTCCAAGACCTACACTGGAATCTGGCTGTAGGGGATAACCGAAAACCCGGATTCAATTTAATTGAGTGTGTTTTAGATTTGCAACGTTTGTTGGATATCATTGGATGAATGTTTTGACTTGTTGTTTTAAGTAATGTTGTTAATGTACTACTTTTTTATTTTATTTTGTATGATGCTGTTCTCTTTACATAAATGCTGCAGGTTTAAAATGCAAGCACCAAGAGGTATCTGCACATTCCAACGGCAGCCTTTAATTTCCTGCTTTTATGGCCAAATGCTGGGCTTTTTTGATATTCTGAACAAAGCTAGATGGTGTCGGAGCTTGCCTCTGCCTTGCACCCCCTAGACCAGGGGTGCCCACAATTTTTGTGTTAAGATCTACTTTTCAAATGAGGAGCTACATGAGATCTACCACTGAAAAAAAAACCTCCCTCGCTCTCCTGGCTGTCTCTCCTCGCTCTCCTGGCTGTCTCTCCTCGCTCTCCTGGCTGTCTTTCCTCGTTTTCTCTTCTGGCTGTCTTTCCTCGTTTTCTCTTCTGGCTGTCTTTCCTCGTTTTCTCTTCTGGCTGTCTTTCCTCGTTTTCTCTTCTGGCTGTCTTTCCTCGTTTTCTCTTCTGGCTGTCTTTCCTCGTTTTCTCTTCTGGCTGTCTTTCCTCGTTTTCTCTTCTGGCTGTCTTTCCTCGTTTTCTCTTCTGGCTGTCTCTCCTCTCTCACTCTCCTGTCTGTCTCTCCCCACTCTCTCTCCTGGCTCACCTTGCTTTATTTTGCAACAGGCTGTGTAAACTAATATTCTTTGATGTAATACATAGCACTTAAACCACCAGTATCCACCAGAAAGGTGTCAGGGAACTTGGCCCAGCAGACTCAGGCTAATAGGTAATGTGTGCACAGCTAAATAAATATACCAAAATGGAATAAAGGGGCCACCATTCACACCCTTCCTGATCTACCAGCATCAGCTTTGAGAGCTACTGGTAGATCACGATCTACCTAATGGGCACCCCTGCCCTAGCCATTCCTATTGAAACGCATTACTGTGATGAAGTGGCTGAGGAGGCAAGAGAGGTAGGTAAGTGTTCCCCTCATAGGAATTGGCAGTAAAAGCAGGGTTTTACAGGCTGCTGCAGGTATGTGCCTTTTTAAATTATTATACCTGCAGCACTTTATATTTTTATTTACAGATTTTCTTTATAGCAATTTGTTTACAAACTGTGCAATCCCATTGAGCATGTAATGAAAACATGCATAAGTAAGGTTTATATGTGATGAGACCGCATGTTAAAAAAAAAACCTAAGAAGTTCCAGAGATATAAGCTGTTACATTTCTGTGCAAATTTCGATTATTTTTCATTTTTTTTACTGAAGTTGTGTGACCCCTACCCTTATCCACCTTTAGAGGGTCCATTTTGGTTAGTGAAACCATCCACCACATTAAGGGCCAGTATTGATGGCATACATTTGACCAGTTTGAAATGTTAATGGGATCATTCAGAATTTACTGACCGGTGCATATGACCTGCAGTTGACCTCCTTCTGACTGGCATTTGACCTACTTCAAGTGGGCTTTTGCATCCCCATAGACTTGTTTGGGCATGCAAAACCTGTTTGAAGCAAACAAAAGCTGGTCGACACAGGTCCTAAGTAGGGATGCACCGATACCGAGTATTTGGGTGAGTACTCGTACTCGCCCAAATGCTCCGATACCTAGCACGAGTACTTCCTGTATCAGGAAGCCGGGCCGCGCATCATTACACGCTGCCCGGTTTCCTGATTGGCCAGGAAATGGCTCCATGCTCTCTCGTCACTTGTGACATTTCAATAAAGTTCAAACAAAAAGGAGGATACTTGTTTTTTAACCTATAAACTACATTAAGGAGTGTCTTTTATGTGTTTTTTTTTACTTCTTTCTGTTAAGACACATGATGGGGAGATTTGATCACCCTGTCATGACTCTTTAGTATGGCTTGAGGCTAATGCAGTAGTGTTACATGAGATTATTCACATGGTGGTTTGAAAGCATACCAATTGCATTGTGCACATAACATGCACATTAAAAATAGGAATATCAGAAAAAGAAGGTAAGGGTATGGGGTTAATGAATCATCCTTCCGCACAGGGTATCTGTATCCTGACTCATGCACACACATAGTGAAATAGACACAGCACAGATGTAAACCACCCTTTGAATAAACTTCCTGTGTAACACATACTGCTAGTGTGCAGGCATTTGCTGTGCTGGCTGGTAGATCTAACCACAGCCAGTTTTGGGAGGCGATCACATTACAGTGAAATCTGACTTACAGGAAGTGACATTTGAGTTCAACATATTTCCTTTAGTTTACTTTTATAGTTGGAGCAAATTGTATTATTTACATCAAGTTTTTATTTTAATTCTATATTTTAGTTGAAAGGCATTCCTGCCCAGTGTTTGGAATGCCATCATGTTGTTCTACAGATTTACACTGAATACATAAGATCGCTGAACACTATTTATTCCTCACTGTGGCCTATGTTTGGCTGCTGCTTTTTGGATATTAAATGTCTGTGACTTGGATTTGATCCTAGAGTGGTGAGAGCTATGTGGAAGTGCCTGCTGAATCTCAAGCCACCTACGAGAAAGTAAGGACTGTATTTCAGTTATCTTCCATAGACTCTTCTTTCAGTCTCTTTTACGGTCTCCATTTTATTTTCATCACATCTGACCATTTTTCTGGGCACATTCTTGGTCTTTTTAATGAAAGTTGTTAATGTGGATTCACATCGAATTGGGGGTGGCCATTTGTCATGATTGAACTTTTCTTTTTTTTTTTTTTACTTGTTAAATGCTGTTGTGTTTGATCAATAATGGGTGATTGAACTTTTTTTTTTTTTAAATAAAATGTGACCACTTCATCCATTTCACACCTTTCAATGAACTTTAAATGTTTTAGCTATTGTCCAAAGCATTCCAAAATCTCTTGGCTCTCGATTTTATTACTGTAATTTTTACTGTGGAATATCCCAAGCATGTAGGCGGAAAACCTGCACTGTACTATGGATAAAAAAAAACAAAAAAAAAACATTGTAACATTTCATTTAAGCCCCTGAAATAAGTCTGAGCTTCAATTACATCATTGTCTTAATCCTATAGACTTTAGCCTTATGTTTTGGGTTTGTAGGCCTAGTTAATTAAGGTTCTACATCTGCTGGATCTCACTGGCTTTGCCCACCCCTGCTTTTGGATGCCCCATATGTTCAAAAATGACTTAAATCCTGTAACAATAAAGAACATAAGACTTCTTTCTTTAGCATAACTTCTTTTTCTTGGAGTCGGTTGAGGGACACAACTCCTTGTCCCTTAACGGACTGCAAGAAAAATATTTTATAGTAAGCCTTCCTCTGGACCAACTGCATGTTTGGAGAGCTGAGGATGCAGGTTTTTTATTTAAACTATTTTTGTCTGTTGGTTGAACTTTATTGATCTGTCTTTTTTTTTTCAGACTAACTGTGCTTTTATATGGGTATATAGAGAGTCAGAGAAACTGTACCACATACTTTGACTCATGCAAAAGAAAATATTACTTTTTTTTTTTTAATTACACCA